ATATATATATATATATATATACACAGGAAGGAAAGTAGAAGGAGATTGGCGTAAGGGATGACACGCACCTGTGTTTCGCTATTGCTGCTAGCAGAACTTAATGTACTGTTAGAGCTGACGCATTCCAGGTTCTGTTCAGTCTTCTGCGATGCTCTCCAATCGTTGGCCCGCAGCGCGTCCTCCCGTATCGCCTCAAACTGGCTCTCCAGGTCAGGGAAGTGAAACTCCGTTGATTCCTCGCATACGCGCGCAAAGTCTGCAGCAGAGGAGAAGAAAACCGATGCATTACTGTATACGCCATATTTTTCGCGTACAGATATTTTCGCGAATTCAGACTTGACGGACAATTTCGCGAGTGGTTAATTTCGCGGGTCGGTGAATTCCTGAATCAGCGAAGAACAGCGTGTTGTTATTTTCCCGTGTTGTTATTTTCGCGGGCGGGGACACGTTCGCGAAATTCGCGAAAATTAAACCACCGTGAAATATACAGCGTATACAGTAATTCCTCCAGTGTTATAAATCTCAACGACTTGCAACATTCAAAACCGCAGAATAAATGCAAGGAAAACTGCGTGTGAACGGTGCCTCGCGCGGCACGAGTGCAAGATCTGCGCTTCGGATCAACACCTCCTTTTGGCAACGCTTCTCTAGTATCCCGTCTGATCTGGATCGTTGGGAGACCGAAATGATGCAGTTTCTCTCCAGTATAGCCCATTAGATTCGCACCCCTGTGGTTACACCACGCGGCTATATACTCGACCGTCCTCCTCACCAGGTGGCAGGTCTCTCGTTGCCACGAACTCACCTCGCTTGATGCCGGTGTAGGAGCTAAGGCGATTGTCAACCAGCAGTATGAGTCCGCTGAGCGAGTTCGAGTAAAGAGACATGGCCGTCTGCAGACGCTGAGGCTGCGGCACGATTATACCCCCGACTTTGTTCGGCTTGTGTCTGCCAGAAGAGGGCGCAACGTTAGTAGCGACGTCATACAGGTTGGAGATCAAGGATAGTTGTGTTTGCGCATATGTGCTATACTACTCCGGGGTGCTAACTCAGGCCTGGGCCCAGGTTGGTAGCATCTGGTAGGGACATGCAACCGCTGTTGTGCTGTAACCCAATGAGCTAAATATAACAAGGAGAGGAAGCGGATTGGCTGTGTGGTTTTCGCCTCAAGGGTGCCATCTATGGACCATAATCAGCTGAAACGGCTGTGCAGAACGAACCCAGAGACAATAGAACACTAATCTGGTCTAGCGTCTCTGCCGAACCCAAATTTGGGCCAGATATGGCGGCGCTTCCTCTCCTTGTTATATTTAGCGCCTTGCTGTAACCGATGTACGCTGACGTGTTCACTAACAGCTGATGTGTTCACAAATGCCGCTGTTTGCTACGGCTTTAGCTTGAGAGTATCAGTGTGATGGGATTATGTTTTTATTTGATAAAGGAGTCATATCTGCTTTTAGATCTCATCACTACTGTGTTGTAAATAAGCTGTTTACCTGCACAGATCCAAGATGTCTGCGCACAAAAGTCGAATGTTGTGCGTCGTCTTCAGTTGCGCACCTGCAAATTTACCAAAAACACCGCGTGAAAAGTCCAATCTAACTCACTCGTCTACTCTTCGTTTTTTTGGTACTTGCTCTAAAACCGAGACGATGCTGTGAATGCGACGCACCAAGATGTATCGTGAAGCTCTCTTCCAGCCTCGTCGTGTTATGCGTCGTTCTCTCATCCTCAGCGAGATCTGAAGGCGCTCGAATTCTCTGCCTGTTCGCAAACAATAATGTCGACCGAACACGGGAAACGGTTAGTGAGGGACACTCTCCCTTCATTGAGCAAACATACCGATAACTTAGTAATTATGAAAGCGGGAGTAACTGGGATGGGTTCAATGTCCCAGGAGATCTACCCATCGTCTTACTCACCATAGTGTTATGGTAAGGTTAGATGAAATATTTAGTAGCTGCAGGCAAGGCTAGATAACCAAATCTATAATCTTAACCTCATCTGTAAGCTTACCCATAACCTTACCCCTAAAAGTTAGCAACTTATTGGCCTTCCTTGACTACCATACTGGATAGTTCAAAAGAATAAAAATCGTAAACAAGGCCCCAATAAAACTGCGTCGGTCAAGGCGCAGAAAATGATGACATCACAACTTCATGCGCGTAATGTGTTGTCGCTCGTGTTTTTGTGTTTCTGTTTCTGTGATTATCTCACATGAATGCTGGTCCCGTGGTGCTCTGCGTGTGTTCCTGAACGTTCATCACAAAGTCCTTGTACTCTCTCTTCTGCGTGTCCTTCAGAGCGCTGATCTCACTCTCCCACTTGCTCTCCGCCAGCTGTGCAGAAACAAAACAAAATGTCAGAATAAGACAGAAACAAGACGGTGTCAGCGACCTCGACGCTGACTCCGGATTCTTCCTCCGGGACCTTTACCAGGAACTCTCCCACTCATCCACATCTTGCTGCGACGAGAAGCAGAAAGAAAGCGAGTACGTTCGCAAATGGCACTCGAGTTACTGCGGTGTCTTGCGTACGTGTGAGTGACGTCAACAAACAGTGGCACTATCATCAAGCGCAGTTCCAGTTTGAGATTACATCAGCCAACATATTGTAGCCTAGAACGTGACCCGAGAGAACGCAAGCCACTAGCATATGTTTAGATTGGCAGCACGGCGCTGACAGTACACACAATACTACTATACACAACTATTTAAAGCTGCTTCCCACCCCCCAAATCCTTCGATGTGTCTAATCAAAGTAGTATTCTATGGTAGCATTTTTGTGCATAAACACATTTTGATCAAATAGGCTCAACACAAAAGCTGCCTTGAGCTTTGATGGGTTACATCTGGAAAAGCATGCCACGCTTTTGCGGTTATAGTAATATTTACACGAAGAATACAGAGATGACAGTGCAGTTCTATAATTCGTTCCAGTATGGAACTAGGACAAGCTGATGAGTGTACCTGCTGATTTTCGAAGTGCCTAGCAGCAAGCTGATTCACTTCCCTGTCGTTGAAGCCATGGCCGAGGCTCTGTACAGCATGATTCATCTCCTCCGCTTGCCTGCACAGAACACAAGCACATCATCAACCTCTACGGATCGAATCTCTGCAGACCACAGCTCAGAGATTAATATTTCTGAGAAACCAAGTTAATAAAGAATACGCTCATATATATCAAAACCAAGCCAGGAAAAACCATTTAAGATAATGCCTATCTCATTAATTCTCATCAATAGCGTTTCCTACACTACATGATAAAATAAGACACGGTCTACCCAACCCGTTAGGATTATTTCCAATCATATTGGAATCTGCAAGTATTAAGTTACACTTGCCACTTATACCAATACTGTAGTTATATTTCCCCAACAATACTGCCGAGTTTACAAGACCGATCAACCTAGGATTACGATGCAAGAATTAAAAGCGCAGGTCGCCATGAACTACTACCGATGCATTCTACTGCTACTGCCGTCGGTCGCGACGCTGTGTCAGCACCTCTGCTATACTACTACTGCAGTTCACCGACAATACTGCCGATTTTACCCGACCGATCAACCGAGGACTATAAAGCAAGAATTCAAAGCGAACGGCTACTGATGCGTTCTACTGCTACTGCTGTTGGTCGCGACGCCGCGTCATCACCTCTCCTCGATGAGCTTCAGGGCTTTGTCGCGTTGCCGGATGAGGTCACCGACGGTGACCGCGTACGTGTGCTCGAGCGTGAGCAGGGTCTCGAGCGCCGGCGAGTGTATGAGATTGTGGTAGACCTCGGCAAACACATCCTCGTTCGTCACGGCCATCGTCCTCGCATAATCACCGTGGTACTGTGTGAGTGTGATATCTATAAATAGCCTTACCTAATCGGTATAGTAAGCTAACGCCATCTATAGTCAAATAACGACACTAGAGTTCACCCTGAGATGTGAACCCCTCGCTTTACAGCGGTAAAATCTATGACCATGGGGACTACATGCTGTAAGAAAGCTCTGATTAGTAGAAATCAGGTTAAATTAGGTCAAAGCATGGTGTAATCAGCAGAAATCTGAGTGGACATATCCCGGATCATTAAAGGCCATTAATCTAATTTTATTACACAAACTTAATTTAGTGGGGGAAGCAGAATCTACATACAACATTCACAGACCTGTGTATAACGCTTCGTCCATTCCGAAGCAATGTCTTCGACGTTTTCTTCTGTCAACTGTGTGAGGCTTTCATCTGCTTGCTCATCGTGAAACTGTCTCGTTTCAAGCTCAACAAAATTATGGAGCTGTTCTAGCAGATCTGTAAGAAATCCAGTGACACATACAGCGCTTATACACAACTATGTAAAGCTGCTTTCCCCAAAAATCCTTCAATGTGTCTAATCAAACTAGTTTTTTATGGTAGCATTTTGTGCATGAACACATTTTGATCCAATAGGCTCAACACAAAAGCTGCCTTGAGTTTTGATGGGAATTACGTTGGAAAAAAGCATACCACACTTTTGTGTTTATAGTAATATTTACACAGAGACTATAGACCGCCTCAACTTGTCTGCGTATATATCTGTAACTTATTGGAGTATGTAAAATATTATGTAAATAAGATGAAATTTGTATCGTTTCGTCTACTACACTAAATTTGTATTTATCAGAGATTATTATTTTCTGAATGTTACTTTACTATGGGGTTCTTAAAAAACGTATTATATCATTGCTGTATGAAGTATTATTTCAGATTACTGAGTGTGAGCAAGTCTGAACCCTGATGACGCTGACACTAGTGCTTGATCTGCTGTCTCCGCACACTCAAGTAAATTTATTTTTAACAAACAAACATATGATATGGTTTAATTTGTTTATATTTTGTGAATTATTTTCATCAATTCACACAGCTTGTTTGTGCAAAACGTGGCATTTTTTGGGAATCTTTATCTGGCAATCAAGAGATGCTATAGTGTGTGTATGAGCATTCATCACAGAATTTCATTGCAGGCATCGCAATATAACAGTCAGGAAATTGTAGTAGAACTTCATTAATTAGCTTCAATCATTACATGAATGACATTAAGTTGTAAGATGTTCTCAACAAACGTATCACCTTCTTGTATGTATGGTGGTAGTCGATTAATGGCGATCATACGACCGCCTAGCTCCGTCACTGGTGCGATACTGGGTATGGTCACTGGGATAGAAACACACTCGGTAGTTCCGCCAGCATCGTACGAAAATGTAAACGTCTTCTCAATAGACCAGCGACTCATTCTGCACAATAGCAAACAAACCACGGATAACAATAATGAAATCCTTGCTGCCGATTACTAATACTAATACTATGTCATTGCAGTGAACCCCAAGTTTGCGATATAAATTGCTTGTCATAACTAATCAGTCTAATGAGTGCCTTGATGTTGGCCAACTGACTGTGCTTTCTCAACTTGTCACTGCGTGACGCTACTGGTAACCGGACCATTCAGTGAGTGGCCGGCAGAAAACGCCACTACTTAGTAGTAATAGTATTAGTAGTACTAGTAGTAGTAGTAGTAGTAGTGGGAGGAAACCACCCACCACTCCACTCAGCCAGAGCCCAGTGCCAGTGTAATCGCGTCTTCTGTGTAACTAGAGTCTAGACGACCATGTTTTCTTAATTTTACTACTTAATATTCATTAATGTATCGGGGAATAGCTCTATGGTGAACATATTTTGAACAAAAGCTGAATAAATACACATTTATCTGTTCTTATTACTTTAAACAGGTCCAATCTCTACCAAGTCCTGGGCGCTGACATGTTACTTCATGGAGCACTTCTCATTGGTCAGAATAGTTTTTTTTCTGTTTGCAACTGGTGGCAGCACCATCCACATTCCACGCTGCTGGAAATAGTTGAACAATATCTACATCTTGTATTATATATTCTATAGTCAGGCTGAGAATATTATGTAAGCATGGCACAATTCTGATAAGTTGTAACATGTAGAAAATATCAACATAATTTTAAATAGCGCATCTGAAATAGTGAATTACAAACAATCCCCATGTTACGTGTAGCAGGTTACTATACCTAATGCTGGATTTGACAGATATTGATATATACCACCGATAAAATCACCGATAGCAGCAATATAAGAGATATATTACCATAAATTAATAAGCGGACGGTTTCCGTATATATATATAATATATATATATAGTATATACGTATAGTATATATATATATATATATATGTATATTATATATACTATATACTATATATGCGCGTGTGTGCGCGGCGCGTGTGTGTGGTGTGTGCATGTGTGTGAGTCCATGTGCGTGTGTGCGAGAACGTGTGCGGTGTGTGTGCGCGCATGCGTTTGCGCGCGCGCGCGCGTGTGAGTGTGTTAAAAATTGCTATGCATTATCACAAAACTGATCATGAAAAGAACGAAGATCCGATATTTTCAATGTTGTGTATTAGTGCACCATTACTTCTGACGTTAACACGTGTTCGTCTCCCTTCGATCGCTACATACCCCGGCAATGGGGCACAGCGAGGAAATTATACACATATATGCAATGATGCATAGCCGCATTTGTTCAGCCCCGTTTTTTTTTTTTACGGTTATAAGCTACAACCACTTCATTGAATCGCGTAGCCGTAAATTCAAACAAATGAAATGCCACTTTCCACTGACAGAGCGCCTGCACAATTATTGGCATATAAATATCCGTAATAAGCGGAATGTCAGGTCGACGGCCCACACGGCCGCCAATCATTAACAATTTTTCCGCCCATGCATCCCCGCCTACAGCATATGATTCATATAGGCGTCTGCCGTTGGGCGTCGGGGAAGGCACGAAGCACGCATTTGGACCCGTAAATGCGACTTATACGGTGAAATTCACGGCATTGAACGGGACGCCCGACGCGTGAGCTCACAGGACTTCATTTGGCGTGCACAGCTCGGTTCGTATAGGGCAACCCGTCGTGAGCGAAACCACGCCGCCCATCGTCGCGCACGTGTGTTTCGATGATGAGGACTGGAAATTCACGACGTTTATTATTACGTAGCCAGGTCGCACCGTCCGCGTGTGTTGGGCGCTGTTTTTTACACTCACATTTTTATAGAATCGGCATTTCATTATACATCGCATCAACCTCTTCTCAAAGAAGATTATTCCGTTCGTTCAAACAAGGGAAAAAAATGCAGCAGTTAAACGATTGGAAAGGATTTAATTCTATACGAGTCCGCAGAATTGTTCAATTGTTACTTTCAGGGCGGAATAACTAGTTGCAGAAAAGAGCCGTAGTTCGTACTGTTATTGCTGTGTAATCTGGAGCACAGCCGAAGAAAATGTGGATTTCGCGCTGACGTTTTCTCCATATAATGCTGCCAACCGCGTAAACGATCACCCGATTTCATTTGTAGCTACACAATAGAGTTTTGTGAGTGTGAAAGTTACAGTCTTGTCAGTTTTGTGACGTGCTATACGCCAATATGAAATTCATATATGATAGTATATATATTTATTATTATATCATTATATGATTAATATATCATTAAATATTATTAGTATTATACTATAACAACTATAAATA